GTGATTATCTGGGTCATGAAGATCTTTTTTGTACAGTTCTTCTGTGTATTCTTGCCACCTCTTCTTAATATCTTCTGCTTCTGTCAGGTCCTTACCATTTCTGTCCTTTATTGAGCCCATCTTTGCATGAAATGTTCCCTTGGTATCTCTACTTTTCTTGAAGAGATCTCTAGTCTTTCCCATTCTACTGTTTTCCTCTATTTCTTTGCACTGATTGCTGAGGAAGGCTTTCTTATCTCTCCTTGCTGTTCTTTGGAACTCTGCATTCAAATGGATATATCTTTCCTTTTCTCCTTTGCTTTTCTCTTTTCTTTTCACAGCTATTTGTAAGGCCTCCTCAGACAGCCATTTTGCTTTTTTTGCATTTCTTTTTCTTGGGGATGGTCTTGATCCCTGTATCCTTACAATGCCATGAACCTCCATCCATAGTTCATCAGGTACTCTGTCTGTCAGATCTAGTCCCTTAAATCTATTTCTCACTTCCACTGTATAATCGTAAGGGATTTGATTTAGGTCATACCTGAATGGTCTAGTAGTTTTCCCTACTTTCTTCAATTTAAGTCTCAATTTGGCAATAAGGAGTTCATGATCTGAGCCACAGTCAGCTCTCGATCTTGTTTTTGCTGACTGTATAGAGCTTCTCCATCTTTGGCCGCAAAGAATATAATCAAATGATTTCAGTGTTGACCATCTTGTGACGTCCATGTGTAGTCTTCTCTTGTGTTGTTGGAAGAGGGTGTTTGCTATGACCAGTGCATTCTCTTGGCAAAATTCTATTAGCCCTTTCCCTGCTTCATTCTGTACTCCAAGGCCAAATTTGCCTGTTACTTTAGGTAAGTCTTGACTTCCTACTTTTGCATTCCAGTCTGCTATAATGAAAAGGACATATTTTCGGCTGTTCATTCTATAAGGTCTTGTAAGTCTTCACAGAACTGCAGTATTCTTGCCTGGGAAAGCCCATGAACAGAGGAGCCTGGTGGGTTACAGTCCATGGGGTCGCAAAGAGTTGGACATGGCTGTGACTGAGTATGCAAAAGAACAACGAAGCCAAGAAACTATTTGAGTTACTTAGAACAGCCAGGAAGATAAACTAGTGTTAACAATTTTTTTATCCAAAACTTGAATATTCGGGATGGAGCATTATCACCTTCCAGTGTAATAAAGGCCATTGGATGAAAGGCTTATTTAATTGTCTAAGAGAGTGTACTTATGCTTGAGTTTGCCATTTTACTATTTGATTAGATACAGATAATATAAATGACCTTGTTAACTTACAGATTTTTATTTGGTAAAGATGTTAACCACAAAGGTTATAGTTTAATTGTCCTGTTGGAAATTAACTAGCTTGTATTTAGTATTCTCCCCCAACTACTCCCAAAATGCTTGTAAGTAACCAGTTTCTCAGAGTGGTCTTTGAACGAACTGCATTGTCTTACTGCCTCCAACATTAATGACAATATATCTATGACAAGTGTTTATTCTATATTTGTATGAGTCACTTTTGATTTTTTATAATTATACTTTGACACCATGCAAATGATTCAAAAGTTTATTGAATTGTATAATTATGACAATAAAAAATGACATTGTTATTGTGACTTTCAACACTAAAATGTTCTCTAGTTCAACAACCAGTGATTAAATATTATTTGCATTCTTGTGGCCTTGTGTGACTCCCATTGTATATTCACTATGCATCAATGACTTTTTCTGTGTATAACCTCTCACCCTCACCAGATTTTAGACTCTTCCTCTTCTTTGCATCCCTCAGGCCAACAGGGCTTCCCAAGTGGCACGCTGGTAAAGAATCTTCCTGCAAGTGTGAGAAACCTGGGTCCGATCCCTGGGTTGGGAAGAGCCCCTGAAGAAGGGAATGGCACCCCACTCCAGGATTCTTGCCTGGAAATCCCGTGGACAGAGGAGCCTGGTGGGCTACAGTCCGTGGAGTTGCAGAATCAGATACGAGTGAGCAACTAACTAACACTTGTTTGCATCCCTCAGGCCATGGGGAAATATGTAATATTAATGTGCACAAAGTTAGTATGTCCAAATTGGTATTTACAAAGAAAGTTTTAGACAATTCAAACAAAACAGAACTGGAACTGGCTGTTAAGAAACTGAGAGAAATGGTAGATTTACATGTTTCATACTTTTGTTAGTCTATAGAGCCACACTAGTTTGAAGAGTAAGATTTAAAGGAGTGAAAAAAATAAAAAAACAAAACAACAAACTAACATGTGTAGCAATATAGCATATTTTCAAAGCTATGTAGAAGAACCAAGAAAGTGGGAACTTCAATCAGTATTGGGAAAACTGGCTCAGAATGACTGATGTTGACAGGTGTAACCAGAATTCCAAGCTAAAAACTGATCTCAGTGAGAGTAAAAGACTTTCTAGGTTTGCTGTGGTTATCCAGAAAAATGATAAGGGGAAAAGGGCAGAAACTAATGACTTCTCCAGTCTCAAGATCATTATATTGCTATTAGAACATAACATTCTACTTAACCTTTCTCTTTCCTCTGTCCTTCTCAGACCTTTATTAGTATAAGCACTATTATACAATCAAGATATGTTAAATTACCAAGTTTTTGCCATAGTAGTCCAAAAAGTTCTTAGAGATCCTGTTTCTTCCTTTAAAATAATTTAGGACAGAGGTGACTGGACAGAAGAATATTTGGTAAATGGTCATATGGTGAATCACTCAAAAGCTTCAGAATTATCTTCTGAGATTTATTTTCAGAATTTGCTGTACACAGTTCTCAAATATGAAACATTCTCAGAACTAGGGATTAGAAGAAAACATGCAAGACACCCAAGATATCAAGCATATTTAATTAAACAGTCTTCATGAAAAATTCAAGTAAACATTGTTTTAAAGCTAGCAATTAACCTCATATAGTTTTACTCATTTCACATTTGGTTATTTCACAAAGATGATTTTTCTTGTGATTTGTTATACTGCCAGATTTCATGCTGGGAACACTCATAATAGTTTTCCAATTTGGCTAAATATTTGTACAGTTTTTTTGCAATGTTGATTTTCGTGAATTTATTGATTCAGTATTTCCTCTGCCGCTTTTGCTTAGTTTCTCCTTTTATTTCACAAATGGGGTCAATTCACATTATCTACACTGATGCTAAAGAAAAATAACACTGGTATCTTAAAGCAGAGGATCCAGGAGTAGCTAAGTATCATTTACTGTCATTTCAACCCCTAACCATAGATATAATATCCATGTTTACCCAACCTTAAAAGTTTTTCTGATTTTGCCCTAAAGGACAATACGGAGATGTGTGAGGAAGTGATGAAATGAGATAATTTGTGAACTTGGCTGAAAGGTAGGAGGATGATAGTGTGTGTGTGTGTTTGTATTCATATATATTCATATTACACTTGCCCAGACCATGATGAACCAGGATTACATCATAGGGGATACAAATGAGTGTAATGTTCTAGATTCTAGTTAGGGAAATAATATAAAAACAGGAAAAATTATCAACCACTTGATTTAATCACTTGATTTGAATGCTACCACAAACGTTAGAAAACACTCCCTACTGATAAAAGTATCTGCATTGATGCCAGTGTTTTGTTACAGATGACCCCTTTGTAGGCACATTTCCCACAAAGATTAAGTGAAGTTTTTATTCTTCCAATGTTTTGACCACAGAATAAGAAATCTCCAGCATGTTCTGGAGTATGTCTTTTTTAGCCAGCTGCAATGACTTGCTGTTCATGTCCTTTTGGTTCTTTTTTTGTTTTTGCATTTAGTTTTTATTTTACTTTATTTTGGCCACACCAGACAACATGTCGGATGCTAATTCCCTGACCAGGGATCGAACCTGTGCTCCTTGTAGTGAAGTCTGCAGTCTCAACCACTGGACTACCAGGGAGGTCCCCCAGGCCCCTCTGATTGTAGGGCACTGTCCCATCTCCACTGCTTTGCTCTGGTGACAGTCTTGCAGGGTTCCTGTTGCCTCTAGTGTTTTCTGCTGGTGTAGCCCCACATTTTCTGGCCATTCCTTCTCTTAGGCAGAAAAGGTCATCCACAGTCCTTGCAGATTTATTTAACAAATATTTAATAAACCTCAGTCTTCCTTAGACTAACCCCTTCTTTTATGACTCAACCCAGTCTGCAAACACTGGACTTAGTCGTAGGGACACTAGACTCTGAATACCACTTATGTCTTACTCATTTGAAATCTTAGGATGGATAAATATTAGAAAAAGTTTAACCAAGAGCTTTTTTTTTTTAAAGAAACCAATGAAATCCATAGAATTCTGAGTGGCTAGGGGTCATGTGCTCATGTTCAATTGTATCCAACTCTTTATAGCCCTTTGGACTATTGTCCACCAGACTCCTCTGTCCAAGGGATTTTTCAGACAAGAATACTGGCGTGGCTTGCCTTTTCCTCTTCTAGGGGATCTTCCCAACCCAAGAATTGAACCCGCATATCCTGTGTCTCCTGCATTGCAGGAGAATTCTTTACCCTGGGGAAGGGTACTATCACAGTACACTATAAAAAGAACTTTTCTTAGAGGGGTGGGATGGGGTGGTGGGAACAAGTCTCAAGAGGGAGAGGTTACATGTATTCTTATGACTGATTCATGCTGTTGCACAGCAGAATATAACGCAACATTGAAAAGCAATTATCCTGCAGTTAAAAACTAATAAATAAAAGACTTCAAAAAGCAGTCCCTTCCTGGCAAGGTATTTCCTGACTTCAGAGATGAAGTCGTGGAACCGATCCAGAAACAGGGTTCTCATTGTCCAGGGGTGCTTGTTGTACCACAAAAAGACTGGCAGTTGGTACTTAATCTCTTCCCTTCAGGGTCAGGGGTTAGCTTTATAGATAAGGCCAGTCCTGATCATAAACCTGACTGCATTTGCACAAAACAGTCGAGTTAGCTTATCCCTTCCTGCCTTAAATCCTGGTGCTCTCTTCTTTGTCTTACTAATAAATGTGGCATTTTCCCCCCAGAATATGGCGCCTTTGTGTGAGCTAAAAACCCTCCATGATTTTCCTAATGGCATCTGCGAACTTGTCTGCTGCCTCTGGGTGGACAGAAGTTGCTTCTCCTGTTATTTTGACTGTTATTAGCTAAACTTCTTTCTAAAATTATCAAACCATCCTTTGCTGGCATTAAGTTCTCCAGCTTTAGATTCTTCACCTTCTGTTTACATTAAGTTGTCACATAATGACTTTACTTGTTCTCAAATCATATGAGAGTCTCTAGGTGCTGTGCTGTGCCTAGTCGTTCAGTCATGTCTGACTTTTTGCCATCCCATGGACTGCAGCCCACCAGGTTTCTCGGTCCATGGAATTCTCCAGGCAAGAATACTGCAGTGGGTTGTCATGCCCTCCTCCAGGGTATCTTCTCAACCCAGGTATTGAACCCACGCCTCCTGCATTGCAGGTGGATTCTTTACTATCTGAACCACCAGGGAAGCCCAAGAATACTGCAGTGGGTAGCCTATCCCTTCTCCAAGGAATCTTCCCAACCCAAGAATTGAACTGAGGTCTCCTAACTTGGAGGTGGGTTCTTTACCAGCTGAGCTACCAGGGAAGCCCAGAGTCTGTAGGTATGCCTTTCTTATTAGCAAGCCTGCACCCACATAAAAGATGCATTTTCAATATGAGATAAAAAAATATTTTGCAAAAAGTGCAAGGATTTTATACCTGCTAACATAGCTCTAGCAACAGCTTCGCAAGTCATCCTTTTCTTTTTTTTTACAATGGTCTATACACAAGATTCATTTGTCTTGAAATGGTGGGTAACTGTAGCTGTAGACCGCAATCTACAGTACGTTTCAAGCAACTCACCTTTATCTTATAATGTCATAACTTTTCTCTGGTTCTTGGGAGCACTTCCAGAATCACTGGTGCTACTTCTTATGGGTCCCACAGTGTCATTCAAGGTTTATAGTGTTGCACCAAACATGATGAAAAATATAGAATTATGAGAGAGAACTTTTTACAGTGATACACAATTTCTTAGAGAGATGAATTGCTCACAAGGAGATGATTAGCATCAGACTGTGTTTTGTTAATAAGTGGATACTCATAATACTTGGCTCACCACAATAGCCAAAAGGTGATGGCCACAAAATTGTTACAGTAGTATAGTATGTACTATAGTTAATGTTATGCAGTTATGATTTAATACTGTATCTTTGCATCTGTTTAAGTTTTCTTCGGTGTATAGTCTGTGAGTGTGTAAGTTTTGATAAGTTTTAACTTTTTATAATAGATTTGTATATATTTTACAGTAGTAAATGATAACATAGACTAGTATCTTTATATTTTGTATGCAATCACCACATACCTTATTTTTAGTAATATTTGATATATCTAGACTGTGCAATTCATCTGCAAGCTTTTTCTAATTGTCACAAATAAAAAAAAAAAATTCCCATATAGTCACTTGAAAACATTTACATATGAGTTGATCTATGAAGTTCAAACCTGTGTTCATGGGTTGACTGTATAAAGAAAACTCCAGGCTCAGAGTGGATCAGTGGTAAGTTTAGTAAACATTTAAGAGTGAAATAATTCTATTTCTGACAACTCTTTCAGAAAATAGAGAAGAAAACTTTTATCAGCTCATTTTATGTGACTAGAATTATCCTCATACCAAAACCAGAAAAAGTGTTACGAGAAAAGGAAGCTATGGAACAATATCCTTCATAAACATAGCCACAATATCCTGAACAAAACATTGAGCCCTCTTTGGGTTGGATGAAGTTATTTACATTTTCTATTTAGATTTGGCCAATGGTTTATTTTGATTTGGCAGATTCTTTACCACTAACACCACCTGGGAAGCCCACAATGATTATGAATAGAGTGTTTATCTCTCACTTCTCTATTGAAGCATTTATTGCTGAATAAAACTCTCCAAAACCATTTTGTCCCTCTCCTACACTCCAGAAGCAACTTTTGAGATTGTGGTTGTTGGAGGATGGAGGAAACAAAAAGTGCCCACCAAACTTTAAAAAGGCATCTTAAATCCATGGCTAATTCAAGTCAATGTATGACAAAAACCACTACAATATTGTAAAGTAATTAGCCTCCAACTAATAAAAATAAATGAAAAAAATAAAAAATAAAACTCCTTGTAAAACCAAAAAAAAATAAATAAATAAAAATAAAAGAAGTATAAAACAAACAACAACAAAAAAAGCATCTTGAGAACAAAGAACTGGCTGCCTGCAAGGCAGGCAGCTCCATGCAATCAATGGATGAGTTTGTTACAGGGTGATTTACTCCCTGGTAGGATCAGGCGGACCACGATCCCGGAGTGTTCACAGCTGCACTCCACACTGTGCAGGGGCTACGGGGACAGTTTACAGTTAACCTAGAGTGTGTGGGTACATTCTTGGAGACAGGAAGTGCATTCCTAAGTCAAGATTTATGAATGGGTAATTAGCCTCATGGGAGCTGAGAGTATTCAGTGAGGGACTTCATCATTGTCTAGGGACTAACAAAACATAAAGGCCACCTGGTTCCAACGATTATTAAACAGTATCTATTAACTTCAAAGCCCTTGATGACAGAAAAGTGTTTTACCACATGGCACGGCCCTGGGTAGGGTCGATAGGAGGACAGGAGGAACATTCGCACAGGCCCAGGAAGGCATCAGTTTTGGTAGCAGCCATGGAATAGCTATTCTCTGAAACGAGATTGTACCTAAGCAGAACCTCTTAGGTCATCTGCAAAGGCCATGTTGCGTGAGAAAAACAAAAAGCAAAAACAACCTTGTCATTGTGTGTTATCTATAGCCATCCCGTGTTACTGCTGCGTAGTATTCCGTGCTGTGGTTATATTCATTTAATTATTCTCCTGCTGACGGGAAAGTGAGTTATTTCCAGTTTGGGACTATCACAAATAAAACTGCCATTTGTACTTTGTGGGGAAAGAAAAAGATAAACCTTTATTGTATGAAACTCTTGAGACTTTGGAGTTGTTTATTAAAGCAGAATAACCTATATTATCCTGGCTGATGGAATGTTTATGTATGTCCTTTCTAAATGCCATTTCTGTTAGATCTATATTGGTGTTACTGTAGTATGTTGTCAAGGGTTTAGTGTATTTTAAATAAAATTTTACCGAGTTAATAAAATATGATGGATCTGAACCCCCAGAAGAGGTGGTGAAAACACTTAGAAGGTGCACAGTAAAGGAAATCAACAAAACAAAACAAAAAAATCTACTGAATGGGAGAAATACTTGCAAATGATATGATAAAGGGTTAACATTTAAAATATATAAACAGCTCATGTAACTCAACATTATCAACAGCAACAACAAAAAAATTAAAAATAGGCAGATATCTAAATAGAAATTTTTCTAAAGAAGACATGTAAATATAAAGATGCTCAACATTGCTAATCATCAGAGAAATGACAATCAAAATGGCAACAGATATCGCCTCCTACCTGTCAGAATGGCTATTATGAAAAAAATAATAAATGTTGGTGAAGATCTGGAGAAAAGGAAACCCTCCTGCACTGCCACTGGAAATGTAAATCTGTACAGCCACTATGGAGAAAATTATGGACTCTTCTCAAAAATTGAAACTACTACCACCATATGACCCAGCAGTTCCACTCCTGCGTCTATATCTGAAAAAGATGAAGACACTAGTTAAAAAAGATACACATATGCAGTGTTCATAGCAGCATTTATTTACAATTGCCAAGATGTGGATGCAGTCTGAATATCCACCAACAGATGAATGGAGATAACACACACATACACACATGCATGGTGGATTATCAGCCTTAAAAAGGAATAAAATTTTGCCATTTTCAGCAACATGGATGGACTTGGAAGGTATTATGCCAAGTGATATGTCAGACAAAGAAAGATAAATACTGTATGATATCACTCACATGTGAAATCTAACATATACAACAAACAAGTGAATATAATAAAAAAGAAGCAGACTCAGAGATACAGAGATCAAGCTAGTGGTTCCCACTGGGGAGAGGGAAGGTGGGGGTAAGATAGGAGTTGCAGATTAAAAGGTGCAAATTACTATGTATAAAATAAGCTACAAGGATATACTGTACAACACAGGGATTATAGCCAATATTTTATAATAACTACAAATGGATCATAACCTTTAAAAATTATTAACTACTATGTTATATTCCTAAAATTTATATTATGTTGTATATCAACTATACCTCAATTGAAAAAACTAAAGCATTTGGGAAGGGAAAAAAGGCAAACAGAAGTGAGCAAAAGAGATGAGCTGAACTTTTTCATTGATTCTGAGAGACTACAAAATCCATTTTACCTTATTTCATCCAGTCATATTTCTTGTTGTTCCTTATTGCTCTGTGTAACCAATGCCCAGACATCCAGTTTTGCTTTATTATTCTTACTTTCATTTCTACCTTGATGTTTCCTACATACTTCCTTCTATGTCTACCTAGATAACTTCTAAATCAGTTTCCCCATAAGGGACATTATTCCTAAATTTGAGAATTGATGAAAGATTTATGGGTCTTAGACTCCTAGTTTTTCCCGTAGTCATGTATGATTGTGAAAGTTGGACCAGAAAGAAGGCTGAGCACTGAAGAATTGATGCTTTTAAACTGTGGTGTTGGAGAAGACTCTTGGAGAATCCCTTGGACAGCAAGGAGATCCAACCAGTCAATCCTAAAGGAAATCAGTCCTGAATACTCATTGGAAGGACTGATGCTAAAGCTGAAACTCCAATACTTTGGTCACCTGATGTGAAAAGCTGACTCATGGGAAAAGACCCTGATGCTGGAAAAGATTGAAGGCAGGAGGAAAAGGGGACGACAGAGGACGAGATGGTTGGGTGGCATCACCAACTCAATGGACATAATTTTGAGCAAGCTCCAGGAGATGTTGAAGGACTGGGAAGCCTGGTGTGCTGCAGTCCATGGGGTCACAAAGAGTCAGACACGACTGAGCGACTAGATAACAACAGCAACAACCTCCTAGTTATGCTTTATCCTCATCATTCATAGATTCCTTATTTGCAAATTTGTATACTCACTAAAATTTATTTGTGACCCTCAAATCAATACCTGCATCACTTCTGCAGCCATTCATGCACAGAATGGTGAAAATTTTGAGTTATCTGACATGAATGATCCCAACTGACATTAAATGTGGTGTTTCTATGTCTTCTTTTTGCAATCTATTTAATGCCACATCTTATGCTCTTTTGTGGTTGTGTGTGTGTGTGTGTGTGATTTTGCTGTTCCAAATGGTCCCTAAGCAACGTGCTGAAGTACTGTCTGGTGTTCCCTAAGCACAACAAAATTGTGATGTGCCTTATGAAGAATGTATATGTCCTAGATAAGCTTTGTTCAGGCATGAGTCATGGTGTTGTTAGCTGCAAGTTCAATGTTAATGAATCAGCAGCATATATTAAATGAAGTGTCCTTAAGCAGAAGTATGTTTGAAACAAGGTTATATATTCATCAGTTGACGAATGTGTCATGGTCAGATGTTTCTATTGTTCAGTCGCTCAGTCACGTCTGACTCTGCACCCCATGGACCACAGCATGCCAGTCTCCCTGTCCTTCACCATCTCCCAGAGTTTGCTCAGATTCATGTCCATTGAGTCGAGACCTAGTCTTTAAGATTAGCAGGAACCTAATCTTGTATTTCTCCTAGGAGCAATGGCTCAGTATCTGCTAATGCAGTGTTCACAAGGATTATTTTGGAACATTACCACAAATAAAGAGAAACAACTGTATTTCCTTCTGAGAATCCCCTTGTGTCTCATAAAAACATACTTGAAAAAGCTTACATGCTTCTCAAAACATAAAAATACTCCTCGTTTTTTACAATTGAGTTGTAATACATACTTAAAAATGTTCAAAAGTTTGCTAATTTTAAGACAGAGTTAATTGATTTTTTAAATAAATGTATACACTTGAGAAACTACTAACTATATTAAGATATGTGCTAAGTCACTTCAGCCATGTCTGATCTGTGTGACCCTATGGACTGTAGCCTGCTAGGCTCCTCTGTCCATGGGATTCTCCAGGCAAGAGTGCTGGAGTGGGTTGCCGTTTCCTTCCTCCAGGGATCTTCTAGACCCAGGGATCGAACCTGTGTCTTTTTACATCTCCTGCATTGGCAGATGGTTCTTTACCACTAGGAGCACCTTGGAAGCCCAGATCAAGGTACAGGGCACTCCAATAAAGTTCCCTCACATCCCTGTTCAGGCCATATCCCAGACATGAGGTAAGCATTATTCTGACACCTATTACTATTTTTTGAACTGCATGTAAATAGAGTCACACTGAATACACACTTTTGTGTCCAACATATTTTATAGACACGATGTCTGTGTTAATGGTTGTATTTATTGGTAATGCACTTACTATGTGTTACTCCATGTATGAATTAATCAAAATATGTGTATCTATTTCCCAGTCGATAGCCATGTTTGAAGCTATGATGAACAAAAATGCTTTGAACATTCTTGTGCATATATTTTGGGGGACATATGGACTTATTTTTCATGAATAGATACCTAGAACTATCTGTTGAATGTTCCTACATCATAGGATAGATGTGGGCTTAGCTTTACTAAACATTGATAGTTTTCTTAAATGGTTAGTTTTTCTCCCATCAGCAAGTATGAGGCTTTCAGTTACTGCATGTTCACCAACCATCTGCTATACAGGCTTTTTTTAAAAAATATTTTAATCATTACGAGTACGAAATATTCTCTCCTTGTAGTTTTAATTTGCATTTCCCTGAAGGCTAATAATAATATTGGTCATTTAATAATATTTATTACTTTAATTAATTTACTGGGTTTTGTGTTCTGTTTAAGAATTACTGTTTATTCCAATATCATGGAAGTGTCTCCTATGTTATATCCCAGAAGCATTACTACTTTAAATTTAGGGCTTTTGAAAATGGGTATGGATATTCAGTTGGTCCAGCACTATTCACAGGAGAGGCAAATCCTTTCAGTTTTGAAATTTAAATGAAATAAATGCTTGTCTTAAATCAATTACTCATATTTGTATGGTCTGTTTCCATACACTTTTCTATTCCATTTGATTTTTGTCTATCTCTTTCACAGTTAAAATATTTCTTAATGGTTACAACTTTCTAGTAAGTCTTCAAATCTATTAGTGTATGCCTTACATCATTGTCATTTTCAAAATTTTCTTAAATATTCTAGATCTTTGTGGGTTCCCATAAATTTGAAATCAGCTTTACAGTTTTCTGCGGAAATTTACTTGAGGTTTGCATTGGAATTGTGATAAACTGAATTCAATTGCATTGAATATTTAGATAGTTTTTCTAATAACTAAGATCTTAAAAATAAATATTGTCTGTGGATATTTATTAAGACATCTAAAATTGTTATTTGAATAGTAGTGACAAAGCTATGGAGAACTTTTTCTGGTAGGGGCATTATTAGGTCTTTCTAAAGCAAAGAAAAATGAAACCTGGATTAAAACATAAGCCTTGAAAGTGAAATGATAACCAAACAGATAGTGAGAACTTAAAAGAGATTTACTTTCACAGAGGTATGAGTTTTTATTTCAAGGGAGTGACTCCTGGAGCCAGGGAGATAAAAATCTTGATGATTAACTCAAAGATTCTTGTCTTATCTTCCCCTAAACACATTACATTGTAAAAGATAATAGCCCAAGATCACTCCCTTTCTCTTTGTAAGGAATATTTACAATAGGGAGCTAAGTCTTCCTTCTATGCTCTCAGAAAGAAAAGTCATAAAGCTATCTTTCTCCTATTTAAATGTCCAGCTTTGTATTTTTCTGGTTCTTTAGCCTACAATACAGACCCCAGTGGGCTACCCTGGCGGCTCCGTGGTAAAGAATCCGCCTGCCATGGCAGGAGATGAGGGTTCAATCCCTGGGTCAGGAAGATCCCATGGAGAAGGGATGGCTATCCACTCCCATATTCCTGCCTGGAGAATTGCGTGGACAGAGGAGCCTGGTGGGCTACAGTCCATGGGTCACAAAGAGCCACACATGACTGAGGGACTAACAGTTTTCAACCATAATTAGATGGAAATAAAATCAGTATTTTTATGCCTCTTAGTGAGTTGCTTCTCTTATCGTCAGATGTCCATCTTTAACTCCAGTAATGCTACTTGTGTTAAAATTTACTTTGCCCTGTATAATATAGGCCTGTCAGCTCTTTCTTGGTTAATATTCCCATGCTACACATTTTTTCATCCTTTTTCTTTCAGCCTATCAATTTTCATATTTTAAGTGTGTCTATTGTGAATAGAATCTACTGAGCCATTTAAAAAAATATTTCTCACTATCTTTTCTTAATTTTAGTAGTTCATCACTGTTGCATTCAGTATAAATATTGGTATAGCTGGATTTAAGTCTACCATCTTACTATTTGTTTCCAATTTTTGTTCCATTTATTTTTGTTCTATTTTTTTCTTCTTTGTCTTTTTGTTGTATTAAACAACTATTTTAAAAATTATTTCCTTTTATCTCTCCTAATGTTTTAGATACACTCTTTGTGTTAATGTTAAGTGCTATGTTGCCCATTATAAGTCATCCTTGAACTTATTTCAGACTGTCATATTATTAATTTTACTGTTTGGGAATAATTCAGAAATCTTTCACTAGTTTAACTATACTGAAAAACCTCTTGCCCTCATGCAATTACCAACATACATTTCACTTCTACATTTGTTATATACCCTGAAA